CTGAGTTGCCGCCATGTGATTGGCTGCTTAGAAATTAAGTGTTAACGAGCAGTTGGACAGGTGTACCTAATAAAGTGGCCGGTGAGTGTAAAGTGCCTTGAGATGACATGTGTTGTGAATTGGCGCTATAGAAATAAACTGAATTAAATTGAAACATTGTTCAACTGCACAGATCTCCAAACTATAGAAACAGATTTCTATTCTTAGCTGATGTTATTCTATTCTATTCTGTTTTATTCTTAGCTTCCGCTGCTGTAGCCCACCTGGCATACTTTTTTGTGACAGTTAATTATTTCAGCTACTCTTGTTTTTCTAAAATTTTTAAACCAGATGATATCTTGGATCTTTCAGAGCACTTTAGGTGAACCCCACATTCTGCAACTCATCTTTACCATGTCTAGATATTTAAATGCATTCAGTTGCTTCCATAGAATTGGTGGATTTACTATTTGTGAATGGACAGGTGAACCTAAGAAAGTGCCCAATGGGTTTATTTATTTGAGCCTTTGTGGAATAGATAGTCCAAAATATTGATATTCAAACTGTGATGCTTAAGAAAGAGAAAAATCAGAAAAAAGATTGAATTCTAATGAATGATGAAAAGACTAAAATCTAAAAGACACACATTCCTGTGATGAATGTATGCAAACATTAGACCTGAGAGGTATTTTCTGATCTGCAGTAATCTCTGCTGTATAATTAGTCCTGTAGAAACCTTTTGTTCTTCATCTCACTTCTATCCCTCAGCACACAGAGATGCTTGTTTTAATTTCGCCAACAGATCAAAGGAGGAAATGGCTGTGTGAATTGAGTAGTGTCCTATATTCATCACAGGTTGCAACAGGTGCTTCAATGAAAGTAAATACAGTTAGACGTCAAGCTCCCTCAGAGAAGGAGTTCCAGTAAAACGAGCATCCCTGAGGTGCCTCAGGAGCAGATCTCAGACTCAATTAATGAACCCACCTGCCATTTCCTGCATTCTTCTTCCTCTTGAACATGTTGAGGAAGCTGCTGCTTCGGCAAGCGATCTTGCCATCTCCGACATGCATTCGCACGGCATCCGACGTGGTGAACGCGCTGCGCACATTCCGCTCTGGCTTTGCAATGATGATGTACATTTTTGGCGTGAACATGCACCCCAAAGCTACAGTCACACTGAGGCTTACAGAGAAGGAAGTGGTTATAATCTTGTAGTTGCTGCCAAAGTAGATCGGCACAAATGCAAGCCAGATTATGCATGTGGTGTACATGGTGAAGGCAATGTACTTGGCTTCATTGAAATTAGCGGGAACGTTTCGGGTCTTGAAGGCGTAGTAAGTGCAGCTCATAATGAGCAAACCGTTGTATCCCAGCGGAGCTACAACGCCAAGGTTGCTGGTGTTGCAGATCAGAAAGACTTCTCTGATGCTGGGGTAGGATTTGATTGGTTCAGGAGGCTCCATGATGATGAGAGTAACTTCCAAAGTCAGTTGAAGACTGATCAGAATGGAGGCAATGACCACCTGAGCCCATGCGCTCATGAACCTCGGCTTCCTGGTACAGATCTTCTTCTTGCTGCCCGCCAGGATGCGAGCAATGCGATTTGTTTTGGTCACGAGGGCAGAGTAGCACATGGCTGCAGAGAGCCCAACGAGAAGTCTTTGTAGGTAGCAGGAAGCCACCGTCGGTCGCGCTATGAGGGTGAAAGGACACAGGTATCCCAGAAAGATTCCTGCGAGGATGATATAACAGAGCTCCCGGCTGGAGGATTTTACCACAGGTGTGTCACGGTATAGGACGAAGATGAAGGCGACGAATGATGTAACCAGTATTCCCAGACAGGAGAAGACAACCTGGATGATGGACTCTGGATTGCTCCATTCCAAGTAGTGTAGAGGGATTGGCTCGCAACCTGACAATGAGAAGAAGAATAAAAGTAAAGAGTATTCAGATGCTAAGCTCTTCCACTTGATGTCACCAGTGATGGGACTAACGGCGTTGAAAGTAACGCTGTTACTAACGCCGTTACCTTGTTTTAGTAACGAGTAATCTAACTAATTACTTTGACTGTAACTATAACGCAGTTACCATTGCAGACACCCCGATACTGCGCGTTACTCAGGTCGCACAATGAACCTTTTTTCATGATAGGACTCGTGCGCAGCTGGGTGAAGCTGACACCCCACCCACCTCAAAAAACTCTGCAAATAGACTGAATGGTTAGTGCAACGTTAGTGCAGATTTATGCAGAAAAAAATATTGTTTTTGCTACTTTTGTTTAAGAGATATTAAAGATTATTTCTTAGGTCATCCAGAGGTGCGCGCCTTGTCATGAGAGGGGAGGATGAGAATGGCTGATGTATAGTGAGATTCCGTCTGTCAGTTGGGTAGGTGGGTGTTTCTGCTGGTGGGTGTTAACGTACAGCACACACAGAGAGATGGAGAGTCAGGAGGACTCCAGCAGCAAAACAGCATTTTCCTGATGGAAATACCGGTGTTACATCGAGCTGTGTTTCACCATCAGATACGGTTTCCCCTGCATCTCCGCACAGCGCGGCGGCACGATTAACCGCGCAAGCGACAGGAAACGCGCATGCTAGCTAAAGGCGCGCATCTCTCTCTGGAA